CCTCTCTCTCTCTCTCTCTCTCTCTCTCTCTCTCTCTCTCTCTCTCTCTCTCTCTCTCTCTCGCTCGGTCATTCGCCAACTTCCCTGTGTGCATCCTTCGAGTGATGCTGAGCGGCAGCCGGGATGAGTATGCGCTGCGTGTGCGTGGAGAGACGAGCACGCTACGTGCTCGCGTGGTCCTCCGCCCTCTTCCCAACTGGAACAGTTTCTCCTATGAACACACACAAGACGAAGGCTCTCTTCCTTCTCGAATGAGATCTCAAGCGAGATGGAGAGACGACTGGCAAGGACATGGCGCAAGACACCCGCCGTCTCTCTGTTGTCGTCGAGGATCGTCCACGACGACTCACGTAATGCTCGAGCTAGTTTCGGACGTGCAGCTAGTTCACATCTTTTGTCTACTGTCGCTTTGCGTTTCGCTTGGACATTTCGAGAAGGGGATAGGTATTCTGGGATAGGGATATCTATGGAAGCTCGGTTCTGACCGTATCAAACGACTGTGCTGTGTATTATGGCGCAACGTCACGCATTCTTCAAATAAAAGAATTTTCATTAAGAAAACTTTATAACGCAACTTTGTAACGTTTAATTGTTTCATTTTCCCAGATAGAATTCAGATTTAAAGACACGCGGTATCGAATATTTACGCACGTGAGAATGTTAAAATGCGAACGAGAATAGGAGCATCCCCTTACTTTCTCGATATTTACTCGTATCGACGATAGCGATATTCATCGATATTTTCCTTTTTCGAGCCGGCCGGCATGGATATCGATATTTTTTTGTCGACTCTAATAACGAGCAAAGTGTCGATGGTTTTTTTTTTTTTCCGATAAACCGTGTCCCCAGTCTCTGGCCCTGTCGCTGGTCCCCGACCAGGAGGACCGGCGAGAAGATACAGACAGGTTGCGTGCAATGTCCGCTCGCGTTCTTCTCTCCTCTCTACACGCCCGTCGCTCGTATCACGCGTTCGTACGTCGATCGCGTGTAATGGTAACGGCCGTATGCGTGCGAGGGGCACGCGTATATACGCGCAAGAAAGACGCCGCGCCGCTTCGCGTACGAAACGCAGAACGCGTTTCTCGTCCTACCCCGAGGTCCTGCGGTAGGCGCGTGCTCACTCCACTTGGGTGCCGCCGCTCGCCGCCGCTATGTGTGAGTGCTGCCGCCACCGGTCTCGGTGGGGATAGAAACGATTGGTGGACGCTGCGTCGAGTTAGATGCCGAGGAGATCTCGCTCGTCAGTCGTACGGTTGCCGTCGTACCGAGCGGTTCCCGCCGTCGTACGGAGACGATCTCCGCTCCGATCTCCGCCTGTGTCTGTCTGCCCTCCGTCGTCGTCGTCGTCGTCGTCGTCGTCGTCATCGTCGTCGTTTTATCGCCGCGGATCTCTAGATTGGCTAGAGAATCATCCTTTTCTGTTATCGTTATCCTTTTCGTCCCATAATCAACGCGCAGCGATTTTCGTTCTTCTAGGAGCTTGAAATCTGATTAATTTTTCAATGAACTCTTATCAAGAATTGGAGCGCGTTCGCTCGACATCGAGGAAGTAGTGTGATGCGCGGGATTTTGTAATGGCACATCTCGGGACGCGGTTCGAGGAGTTTGCACAAGACGACAATGACGCGCGGATAACAGGGCACGTCCCCCTCGTCGGAATGCGGGATGTCGTAGCGAGACGTGACATTAGTTTGTCAGCGAATCACCGAAAGCGGATAACATTCTGATACAGGATTGATGCCTGTTAAGCGATTTTGACGTGACGTGATTCGGTAATCATTGTCGATCGTCCTAAAGAACTAAGTCGGAATCAAATACGGAATTTGGAGAGAGAGAGAAAGAGAGAGCGCGACCGCGAACGATAGAATATAGTTTACCTTCGTCCGTAAGGAAACGTACCAATTATATGAAGTAACTTCGCTGCGCCGAAAAAAATCATTCGACGCTTTTAAATCAAGTGATCTCGTAGTGTAAACAATCTCAGATATAAGTTAAAGCTGCGTGATAATAATTGCGATTTCGAGATTCTACTTACGATCTGTCGACCGTCGTACGATCTAACAGTGAGCGTTTGATGTCAGTCCGTAAACGCTCACCGCTAATCGATTCGGAGTGAATCTTGTACCTGCAACGGAGCGGTTTTCACAGTGACACATCTCAATCGAACTCTCGAGTTGTCGCGTAAATAGACACACGCAACGCGGTGGATAATAACCGGTAACGCGTGACGCGGTCGCGTGTGATGATCAGAAGACAGAGAACCGGTACCAAACGCAGGCAACGAGTTCACTAAAGATGCGTGGGCTCGTCGGTCGGCACGAAGGTCCCGGGAGAAGATCGTTGTCGCTGTCGTTGGCTTATTACTGTCTGCTCGTACCAGTATACCACGTGCTCGCCGTGACCAGCGAGCTACCGCCGAAGCTCGAGCTACCCGACTATTGTTCGTGGGATTCACGCCAGGATGGCGCGCTCACTTGCGTACATCGTTACGCGGGCAACGACTCGCTCAGGACGAACTTTTCTCAGGCCACGAGCGAGTACGTGACCTCTATGAACATCGTTTGCGAGGACTCCGATCTGGAAGACGACAATGGCGTACTCAGCGTAGACAGTTTCCTTCACTTATGGCGGCTGCGATCGTTGAAGTTGACCGGATGCAAGCTGGTTCACTGGCCGGCCAAGTTACTCAGCGGTCTGCGTGATCTCCGTAATCTAACCGTTAGAACGCTAAACGAACGCAAGACCAAGTACAGTCTGGAGCTGGAAAGCGGCGCTTTCGACAATACGCCGCAAATCGAGAAACTCGACCTGTCGTGGAATAATATCTGGCAGATACCGGATCGCCTGTTTTGCTCCTTATCAAACTTGGTAACTCTAAACATCTCGTGGAACTCGCTGAAGGACATTACGGAACTCGGATTTCAAGATGTCAGCGAAGAAAAAATATCCGAGAAGCATCCGAGACGTCAATTGGAATCAACACCGGCTCCACTCCCGTGTTCCCTGGATGTGCAATCATTGGACGTGTCGAACAATCAAATCTCCGTGTTGCCAATGAACGGATTCTCATCGTTGAAACGTCTTCGAGTATTGAATTTGTCCAGTAACGCTATCTCCATGGTAGCCGACGATGCTCTACACGGACTTAGATCCCTCGAGAGCCTCGATCTGTCTGGAAACAAAATCGTTGCTTTGCCGATGGCGCTGTTTCGAGACGCGACAAAGTCACTGAAGGAGCTGCGATTGCAAAACAACTCCATCAGAGCGCTGGCTGGTTTGGTGGCTGATATGAATCAACTGGTCGCTCTCGATCTGTCACGAAACGTCCTGACCAGTTCGTGGTTGGATTCGGGAACATTCTCTGGACTGATACGCCTCGTACTCCTGAACCTGTCTCACAATCGGATCAGCAAGCTGGATCCAGCGATCTTCAAAGATCTTTACACTTTGCAGATTTTAAATCTCCAATTTAACGAGATAGACATGATACCAGCGGACACCTTCTCGCCGATGAGCAATCTACATACTCTCGAATTAGCTCATAATCGTTTGACTTATCTTGACGCTTACTCTCTAAACGGATTATTCGCGCTCTCGCTGCTGGCCTTGGATTCCAACTTGCTCGAGGGAATTCATCCGGACGCCTTTCGGAACTGCTCGAGCATGCAAGATTTAAACCTGTCCGGCAACAATCTTGAGAGTATACCAGTGGCGCTAAAAGACATGAGGATATTGCGGACCCTCGATCTGGGCGAGAACCAGATCAGAAGCCTGAATAAGCCCGGTTTCCGAGGAATGTCAAGCCTGTACGGTTTAAGAATGATCGGCAATGAGATCACTAATGTCACGCAGGAGGATCTCGTGGAATTGCCGGCGTTGCAGATCTTAAATCTGGCCAGGAACAGAATCGTATTCGTGGAGGATGGTGCTTTCGCCGCCAATCCGGCGCTTCAAGCGATTCGACTGGACTCAAATTTATTGGACGACATGTCCGGCATCTTCGCAAGTGCGCCCGGTCTTCTGTGGCTGAACATATCTGACAACATGATCACGCAGTTTGATTACAGCTACCTCCCTGAGAAATTACAGTGGATGGATCTACATAAAAATTTTATTACGGATCTTGGCGTCGCGCCACGGAATATGAGATTGCAGACACTTGATGTGTCATTTAACAGACTAACGAGGATACACTCCCGATCGATTCCGGATTCCATCGAGCTACTGTTCGTCAATGATAACCAGATATCATCCGTGGAGCCGCAGACATTTTCCGTGAAGACGAATCTCACCCGAGTGGATCTCTACGCGAATCTGATCGTCAAGATGAACCTCTCGGCGTTCCAGCTTACTCAGGTGCCATCTAACAGACAACTTCCGGAATTCTACATCGGCGGAAATCCCTTTATATGCGACTGCACCACGGAGTGGTTACAGAGGATCAATTCGCTTACGCTGAGACAGCATCCGAGGGTGATGGATCTCGAGTCCGTTTACTGTAGGTTACCTTACGACCGTCACAAGTCGTTCATACCACTATTGGAGGCCAAATCTTCGCAATTCTTGTGTACTTACAAGACGCATTGTTTCGCTCTTTGCCACTGCTGTGATTTCGATGCCTGCGATTGCGAGATGACGTGCCCAACAAATTGCACGTGTTATCACGATCAGTCCTGGTCGGCGAATGTCGTTGACTGTTCCAGCTCTGGCTACAAAATCCTGCCGGGTCGATTGCCAATGGACGCGACAGAGGTTTATCTCGACGGGAACAATTTCGGAGAATTGAATTCCCATTCGTTTATCGGACGGAAGAATTTACAAATTCTTTATGCGAACGACAGCAACATTATCGCGATCCGCAATCATACTTTCAGCGGTCTGAAGCGGCTGGTCGTGCTTCATCTGGAAAACAACAAGATAAGCGTGCTCAATGGAGTGGAGTTAGTGCCGTTGGAAAATCTGAAGGAGCTCTATCTGCAGAATAATCTGTTAACATACATCGATAACGGTACATTCTTGCCGCTACGTCAGCTGGAAGTTTTGCGTTTGGAGAACAATCGGCTTGGCACTTTCGCGCTCTGGCAACTAGGTCAAAATCCATACCTAGTCGACATCGGTCTGTCCAGTAATCCGTGGAACTGCGAATGTTCATATCTGGATCGCGTGCGGGAGTGGATGTCCCGTAACCGGGCGAAGATCAACGACTGGCATAGCGTCACCTGTTCTCTCGGCGTGCCCATAACTCTTCCGGCGAATGGATCGGTCATGAATTGCGCGGCATTAAGGGGCGCAACTTCCGTCGTCGAGACACATCCGCTGGAGGCTTATCTCCCGCTGTTGCTCACCACTGTCGTGCTGATTTTCGCGGCGGTGGCGTTCGTGTGCGGCGCAATCAGACATCGTCGTACCTTGAGGACTTGGGCCGCGAGCAGATGCGGTCTGCGGGCGTGCTACAAGACCGCAGCCTTCGAAGATCAGGAGAAACCGTTCGACGCCTATATCTCCTATTCTGCGGTCGACGAGGCCTTCGTCTCGACAATTCTTGTGCCAGGTCTTGAGACCTCGTATAGGCTGTGCTTGCATTATCGAGATCTCGGCGCTGGTAGCAACGTCGCCGACGCTGTAGCCGAAGCGGCTGACTCTTCGAGGCGCACCATTCTCGTATTGTCGAAGAACTTTCTGCACGGCGAATGGTCCAGGTTTGAATTCAAGGCGGCTCTGAGGGACGCTCTCAAGGGAAAGGGTCGCTCGGTGATTTTGCTTCTGGTGGGCGGTGTGTGCCCGCGGGATCTCGACGCCGATCTTAAAAAAAGAATTTCGTCGCACACCGTGCTGGTATGGGGGGACAAGTTGTTCTGGCAGAAGCTGAGGTTTGCCATGCCGGATGTATCCCCCGTTCCCGTTTTAGAGAGACCCCTGCCTCTGCCGCCACCACCGCCACCTCCAGTGCATCATCAATGGACGTAGAGCTGCCGTTATTTAGGTAAGAGAGAAAGAGAAAAAACAGTTGTTTTTAGAATAGTTTTTGGAATAGCACACCAGCTAGTGTCATAAAACAGTGTGTTCCAAAAATTTTTTACTTTACGTTTGCATGGAATCATTTAGATTTACCAGGAAAAAAATATAATATACTGAAAAGTATTTTATAATATCAAACTTCATATTCATTTAATTCGTGGAACAGGATTAAATTCGATAAAGAATCGGCTCAATATTACAAATCTAGAAATGGTTTTACAATAACTTTGAATCGATCTTCTACATAGTTACATATATCCAGTGAATATTTGCATATGAATATCTATTGCATATCGAAATGTCCAGTAGATTTCGAAATATTCGATAATGCTATCATTGTTTATTACTGCACAAAACAACGTTTTTATATAAAAATTATTTGTGATATGGAAACCGATTTAAATAATTGTTTATTTAATTAGAGTAATCTAAAAGAATAACATGCACGATGTAATACCAAAAATGCATTATAAAATATTTTTGTTATTTCTTTTTAGCTTTATTTATTTTTCTTAAATGAGTAATGATTTATTTATAAGTATATGATCTAAGTATATGATATATCTATAAATATTGAATATACGACATCTCGGATGCTTCTCGGATATTTTTTCTTCGCTGACATCTTGAAATCCGAGTTCCGTAATGTCCTTCAGCGAGTTCCACGAGATATTTAGAGTTACCAAGTTTGATAAGGAGCAAAACAGGCGATCCGGTATCTGCCAGATATGTGTGATTACAAATTACAAATTTATATCTTTATACATTTCAATTATTGCAATTCTAAAGCTCGCACACACGGTTAATCATCTCAGACCGCTTAGACACAAATCTTTTAGTTACCGCATTTGCTGCACAAATCTTTTAGTTATTGCATTTGTTGTTGCAATTTTAAAGCATATACACAGTAGATTATACCATATCACTTAGACACACGAATTTCTGATGCAGCTTGAGAGTAAATATTATCTTCGTCAACAGTAATCTTCCTCGATGAAAGATCGTGTATATAACGCGCCTTTGTTACTCCCTAAAATGGGAGTAATGTTGCTTCCGGTCGCTGAATACTTACGGTGAAAAGTCGGCTAAGTACAAAGTCGTTCGTCGTTAGACCCAATAGAATTCATAATCGATTGTCGCGTGCCCATAAAAGCGCCAAGCAGTGCGCGTGGTACGCATATAATAGTAACGGTTCAAATTATATATAATTCCTAAACGACAGGCTAACGAGGCGGTAGTCGTGCCATTGAACGCGCTTTCTGCGCGAGCCTGTAGCCCATTTAACGGCGACACATTTCGCGCTATTGTGATCGGGGGCATGAATGAGGTCATCTTTCGGCAGTCGGTTTTGCGCGAACATATGGGTCGGCGGGAAATATACGAAAAGTCGCATTAAATCCATCGTTACATGTCCGCCAGCGGGCAGCGAACTAGGAAAGTCCATCAATCGTTCCGACCATTTGTGCTCTCATAACTATTCTCACTCAATTAGCGATTAAGTTCGCTTTGTCCGAATCCAGTCCCCTGCCAGAAGCACGGGAGACAACGAACCCGGCAATCGTTCATTCTTAAACACCAATTCCGCAATCAATTCGACCTGTGTTGTATGATTGCTGCAATTGTGATGAATTTATTTGCATTCCCATATGCTATTAATATATAAATAAATCCTCAATAGTAGTCGCAATCACGATGAATTTGTACAATGAATTTATTTGATTATGATGTATATATACTTTTCAGTCTTATTATACTAACATTTTTAAAATTAATTATGACTAAAATCAAATTACTTTTAAAGTTATTTATATTTAGAAACGTTGTGTGATTTTAAGATGTCATGAAAGAGTAATGCAATAAACTTTGTCCTCATACAGCCAGGATTATTAGATTAGGATATAAGAAATTCTTATAAAGTTTTGCAATGTCTTTCTAAAAATGTTTTAAGTCAGATCTCACCATATTCATAAGAAATAAGGAAATAAGGTCAGCAAGTTGAACGCAATACTGATTTTGATATAGTTAAAGGAAGAGATCGCATTGCATCGTGTGTTTTGAAAAATATTAAAGTTTTATTTATTCTTCTTTAGAATCTCTAAAAATATAAAGATAAAAATATTTATATTTTAAATTTAGAAATAGACTTTTCATGTTTTAGAAAATATTGCGCAACAAAATGTTGATGCATATAACATGTTATTGCTAACTGTTCCATATTGTTACAAAACATGGTAAATGTTGCAATATTGATTAGTTTATTTCAATATCTAGTTTTTTAAATGTAACAATACTATATATTACAATTATAAAAATATGACGAACATTGTGCGTTATTGCACTCTATATTTGTTTACAAATATATTTATTACATTTATTATTTCCGCAGACTTATTATAATAATTTACAGTAAATAGTAAACGTACAAATTTTTTAAATTTAAAATTGAAACTTAGATAACACGTAAAGTTAAATATTACATTGAAAAATATTAATTATTATATCTAATTAAATATCTATCTATTTAACATTTGCAAAAGAATATTTTTACATTACTTTTTGCAACAAAGTATTTTATCTGTAGTGTAACGCAGTGACACAAAATCTCTTTCGCTTCATTTAATTTATATACGATAATTAAATACGATAATTAAATTAATTTAAATTTTATTCTCTTTGTTTATACGCATTCTAAAAAAGAACTTCAACCACAAAATTTAATAGTCATAATGAAATAAATATAATTTGTCTAAAATAACTCATTATTGCACATTTTGCACAGTGATTTTATTTTGCCATTCTGCTCTCCCGCATCGGGAAATGACGGCAAATGAGTAATTTCGTGATCCACCTGCCCGTCCGCCCGACTCGTGCCTTTGTAATCACCAACCGAATAGAATTATCTCTGTCGCACAGATCGACAACGTGGAAAAGGGAGACCGAATGCGACGGACGTTACATTAAAGCCAGCGCGACGCGCGAGAAAATTAGGAAAGTCAATTGATCGTTCGATTCCCCGCAATCCCGCAACAATGCCTTTCGCCCCGTGACCACAGACTGCCAGACAGGCCCTCGATTTTCTTTGTATCAGGTGACCGGCCATTCACCGCGTTAACTTTCCGCGACACGCTTCAGTTTCAGCTGTTACCCGAGAGCTCCGTGTAAAATGGTGGTCATGGCTCGAAAGGGCGAACTGAAAATACGAGAGAAGTTGGGGGGAAGGGCGCAGTCCGGAAGGTCCCTTTTTACCCATAAACTTTCAGGTTGGCGCTTGCGTGGTCGACGCTTCCATTAAAAGCTAAGCCGCCGATAAGCTGCATCGATACTGGGTCTCTTTCTCTCTCTCTCTCTCT